CACACACACACACACACACACACACACACACACACACACACACACACACACACCCCTTTCTTCTCCTGACCTGAAAGGTAGGTTTTAGGCTTGCACTTGAGAAAGCTACCATCTCAGCCTTGGATTCGGCATTTAGCATGCTTCCTTAGAGTGTGCTTCACACCCAATTCCACAGTGATCATTTTAAAGAGCAGTTTGTTTCCTGAGGAAGCTTTTGCGGTTGACCAAGAGATACGTTATTGTTCACAAACACCCACTTGCTTTATGTGGTTCTTCGACCTAAGAAAATTTCTTGCTGTCTCTATAATTCCTCCTCATTTCTCTTTTTATGATGAATCTTTGTAGGGACATAAATTTCCTACAGGCTCCTTAGCCAAGTATGGCTGAAAGGGGCAGCTAGGAGTGATTTATAAAATCAAGGATAATTTCTTGTGCAAGCCTCCAAGGCTGGGACCCACAGTGCAGCCTAGATTTTTCTTGTGACTCTCAGTAAGAATGTTTTATACAGGGACTTCTCATTTTCATCTCCCTTGTTTGACCTGCCTGATACCTTATTGAGGCGTTTTATTTCACATTCGTAATGCTCCTTCTCCTTGTTCGCAAGAGCATTATTTTCCTTTAAAAGCTTATTCTCTTTCTTCAATTCATGTAATTCTTCATTTAGGTGTTCCTTTTCCTTCTGAAGTAAAGACCGAGAAAAGAAAATCAAAATCAGTACAGGTCGAATAAGATGATATTGTATGAATCCTGACATATCAAACGTTGCAGGCAGATTGAGGAGTCACCCTTCTGAAATACAATAAAAACAGAACTTGCAATATTTTAACTTAATGTTTCATTTGAGCAATATTCTTTGGATGGAGGCTAGGATTAGGATTGAAGGAATCTTACTTTTATCAGAATCTACTGAAGTATCTTAGGTTTTGTGACCCTAGGACAAAAAAAAAATCAAAATTTCTAATTCTTACTTTAAATGTCAAATAAATGGGTCTGCAGGATAAGCAAGTTCCTATGTACTGTTACTAGGTGATGGATAAGTGATTAAGAAAAATAGCTGAAAATCTTAAAAAGAAAAAACTGTCATTGTAGGTAAACAATACTAAATATCTCAAAACTCAGTCCTGTATCATTTCGTATTAGAAAGAGGGAAAAGGGAATAATTTTTAGGCAAATAACACCCTCCACTACAGATCATTATTTAGAGCACTATATTGTTGTGATTATCATTTTTAAAAGGTAGAAATCAATTAATCCAACTGCCATCATTCCTGCATGTTTTAGATATCATCCAGAAGTGCAGAGTTTTAACCAACTGAAGGTTAGCTGCTTAAACACCAACAGGCTCTGGACTGAGACAGTATATCCTCTCTTTTAATTTTGTGTAATAAATAGTAAACTTTTTGTGAAGTAAATTGGATTCTTAATGATATTGAGACTTTAACTCGGTAAAATAAATATTGCAGAAAATAGGTAACTCAAGATGCAAAAATAGCTAATATATGTGTTAAAGTGTGTTAAGTAAGCAATATTTCCCAATACAATTATTAAATTTAAGAAATCCACTTTAAGTAATTTACTTTACTTAACAGGGAAAATATTTCTACATGCTTTTATTTAAATAGAAAGAACCTATATACTTAGAAAATAAACCAATTACTTTCTAATGTAGCATAATTTAGGAGAAAATTATTCCCAATGAGAAAACGGTCTCAACTGTATGAGAGAAAAATTGCTCAGATTCCTGCATAGGGTGTAACTGGAAAAGGAAATGACAGCTACATGGCAGAAGGGGAGTGTTGCTAAACTCTGTTTTCCTGACTCACTGTGACAAAGACATTCTAGCAAGGTAGGAAAACCTGGACTGGCATTGTCTGCGGTGATTTTAAACGTTACCTTAAAATTTGTACATGTGTTAAAATATTGTCAGTGCCGCGCCTGGCGCGGTGGCTCACGCCTGTAATCCCAGCACTTTGGGAGGCCGAGGCGGGTAGATCACGAGGTCAAGAGATTGAAACTATCCTGGTCAACATGGTGAAACCCCTTCTCTACTAAAAATACAAGAAATTAGCTGGGCATGGTGGTGCGTGCCTGTAATCCCAGCTACTCAGGAGGCTGAGGCAGGAGAATTGCCTGAACCCAGGAAGCGGAGGTTGTGGTGAGCCGAGATCGCGCCACTGCACTCCAGCTTGGGTAACAAGAGCGAAACTCTGTCTCAAATATATATATATATATATATATATATATATATATATATATATATATATTGTCAATGCCTCATGGTATCAGCGATAAGGCTTCCCCTCAGAGTCTAACACTTTTTGTTTTTTCTTACTATACCTAAAATAACAAGAGGCCATTAGAGTTTAAGGTTTCCTCCCATATTCTACAATATCCATAAAGTCCAACAATGGAAAGTAAAAGCAGGAAGAAAAAGAGTGCTCTTTAGTAAAAACTGTCATCTCAATTGTCATCATCCAGTTCTCAGCAAGGGATTCATGGAGCTTTAGAATCTGGAGGCTGGGTTCAAGTTTCTTTTTACCAACGTTGGCAAATCAATTTGTTTGCATCTCAGCTTTCTCATCTTTAATATAGCAAAAACACTATTTTGCTCATAGGTGGGCTGAGAATGTTAAACGAGATAATGAGGATGAAGGCTTTTAAAAATGTCATACATTTATGGTCACAGAAGTAAAACCTCCTATGTAAATCTCTCTGTAAGCTGGAAAGCTACCGCACAAATACAAGGTATTGCCATATTATCATTATGAACACTACTAATGAAAATAATAAATAACGAATAAAAGCAAAAGAAAAAGAATAATTTTCTCTTAGGCTGAAATGCTCTAGCGATTTTAGCAAATCTGTGGATCAGTTTCCTCCTTCCTAGAAGGGCCTGGCGAATGACTGTCTGCCTATTTATGCAACCCAGGAGGAAGCCAGCAGAGAATCTCCTTCCTTCTTATTCTGGAGAAGTGACCCTGGTTCATGGCTCTGGGGGACTTGCGTAACCCGTACACCCTTGCACATCGGTCGTTGCTCAGTAGTGAGTTGTTTTTAATAAAACGGTAGGTTTTCTACAGGAAACCAACCCCTCTCCTCATCCCCCAAAGCTCGTCCCCAGCTTTTACTCAGATCCCCCGGGCGCGAGGACCCGGGCTCCGCCCACCTCCTCCCGCCGCAGCCGGTCCCGGGTCAAGTCGCGCTGTCTGTCGTCCTCTCTCTGCCTCTGAAGTCGCTCCTTCTCCCGCGTGCTGAGGAATCTTTCTGCGGCGTCCACTTTCGTCTTCAGCTCTGCTACCTGAGGAGGTCGTTCACGGAGAGCTGCAGACACTTTCTCTGAAGTTCACACGCCCCTGGATTTATTCCCAGGCTATGCACTTTGAACGGAAATGCACCTCTCCAGGACGTCCCCTAAGGAGAGGTTTTACTTCCCACCGTCCCTAACGCAGATAGGGATATTCGCATTCAAAAGGGAGCTTGGCCTTGCATCAAAACAGCCTCCAGCTCTTCCTTCTTTTCTTCAAACCACCCCTACTTCAGAGGGAATTAAAGACTTAGACCACACCCAGGGGGTTCTCTAGGTTTGTTGGCCTAGTCTCAACTCTCCAGGTGAGCCTGACCTGGTCTGGAAAAGGTAGCGAGGGGCAGCAGGTTAGGTAGAATATGCCTACACCAGAAAAAAAAAAAAAAAAAAAACAAAAACAAAAACAAAAAAACCAGACATGGCCTTTAATTTATCAGTAATTTGCAGCAATTGACCTTCCACTAGGTGTCAAATCACTCTGACGACAGAGCGACAGGTCCTCAGAGTGACCATAGTCCAGATGGAGAATCTTAGAGATGGGGACTTCTTCCCAGATGGGGATTATAGCCATCATTAACACCCTGTCTTCATACACCTGCAAGCCTATCGGAAAGCAGTGTAAGCATTCTCTCTGGGATCATCTTCTTTAACATTTAGAGACCCGGATTGCCCCAGCAGGAATACTGCAAGGCTGCCTGACCATTGGCTGCTGCAAGGGGAACTTTATCTTGCACCTCCTAAATTCAATGCTTCTGGGTAACAAAATGAGGAGGAAAGGAACAATGCTGCTATATTATAACACTTATGGTCAAGTTTCTTAACACTGAATTATTTAGAGGAATTTACTTTCTCTTTTTGTCTCTTTTTGATGATAGAATAATTTTAAATTCTAAATTGTCTTTTATGTATTAAAGTAGTGTTTCTTCCAAAAGCTCCTTTCTCACTAAAGCTTCTTGAGAGCAAATGTGCTTTAGATTGAAGAGAGGATTGCCCAGTTTCTTTCACACTTTCACTGTTACCACCCTTTGCTTCTTTATTTGTGGAAAATAGCTCATGCTATCTAATTAAAGAATTAGGGCTAACCTGGCATAAACAGCATGGACTTTGAACCATTTCTCACCTCACATATAACCTTGTGTTTTTATAGCTTCTAGTAACAAAGGTAAGGCTGGGATACTCTATGAGCTGGGATAAATGTGCTGAGAACTCACTGGGAGCTATTTTTGCACCTTTCTTTAGCTATGTTCAAGACAACTCACTGACACCGTTCATTAATCTTCAGTGGCACGAGGCCAATACTACACTCAGCACCCTCCCCGTCATTTCCAACAGTTTGCTACCCACAAAGCTGTTTGTAGCTGACATCAATGAAACTCTTCACACACGTGGCCCCACTAAGATAATGGATTTAAAGAAAATACCAAATAGAGAGGATTTACCTTTCGTTCGTATAACTCTTTCATACTTCTAAATTGCTGATCCCATTGCTGGTTAACTTCCAGGAGCTGAAATTATTAAAATTTGGTGAATCAACAAAGAATTTCTGCCCATTTGGAAATCTGCCCAAAAAGAAATTAGTTTCTGAGCTTATTAAAATTTTAGAAGCCAAGGATGAAGACGTTTTTTTCTCACCAAGGTCTGATTGGGCCGGCATGATTAAGTTGAACACACTCTCACCTTTTCATAACTGGTTTGTATATGAAAAACTATTAGCCGGATGTAGTAGCTCACACCTGTAATCCCAGCACTTTGGGAGGCCAAGGCAGGCAGATCGCTTGAGGTCAGGAGTTTGAGACCAGTCTGCCCAACATGGTGAAACCCCCCATCTCCACTAAAAATACAAAAATTAGTTGGGCATGGTGGCAGTCGCCTATAGTTCTAGCTACTCAAGAGGCTGAGCCCGGAAAATCGCTTGACATGAGAGGCAGACGTTGCAGTGAGCCAATATCACGACACTGCAACCCATCCTGAGTGACAGAGCAAGACTCAGTCTCAAAAAAGAAAAGAAAAGAAAAACTAGTAAGTCTTAGGTATATCTTGACAAGTCAGCCGAACAGTTTATCAGTAACTTTTAACTTTTCTTAGTTATTTGAATTTACATTTTGTCTAATCCAACCACAATCTGATAAAAATTTGTAAGTATTGAGGATTTTCTGTAAGATTTATTAATGCATGAAAGTTCTTTTCCCAAAGTTTTTCATATTTTTCTATGTGCTTACACTGATTATAATGAAATATTTTTTCCAGCTCTTTTAAAGCAGAATTTATGTTAACAAAGCCTAGACTCCAATAACTGATAATGATTTTCATACAATAATGTGCTTTAAAAGATTAACACGATTTATAATACTCAACAAATAGTATCACAATTTTGAAAATTTAGATTTTCAAGAATTATAATTTTGCCATAAGACTAATTTAAAGATCTTAAAACTATCTGCTATTTAGAAGTAGAAGAAATGCTATGATCTGTGGTTAGCTTTTTGTTGGGGAAGTTTGTAATTTTCCACATTAAGAGAAATTCCAACACTTACCGATGTGGAACAGACACTGAGAAGATAGTCACAATGACTAAAATAAATAGCAAGACTTTCTCCTAATTAAAAAGCAAACTGCTGAATCTAGACTGGCAGTTCCTAGGTAACTCTTACAACTGGAAATACATGTCATTATTTTGTATGAGACTGTATAATATTATTATATCAAGGGAGTTACTCTGTTGGCATTTTAGGGATTCCCATTTGTATATGACAATAATATTACTCTGCCATAGTTCAGTGATTTTCCAGAAGGTCACAATATTCTTCACAGTATCAAAGAAGGTAGAAGTCACCATAGAAGAGAACATGAAAAGTGTAATATATAGAATGAATTAGAAAAGGAATTACAGGCTGGGCGTGGTGGCTAACTCCTGTAATCCCAGCACTTTGGGAGGCTGACGTGGGCAGATCGCTTGAGGACAGGAGTGCGAGACCAGCCTGGCCAAAATGGCAAAACCTTGTCTCTACTAAAAATACAAACATTAGTTAAGCATGCTTGTGCATGCTTGTTTGTAATCCCAGCTACCTGGGAGGCTGAGGCACAAGAATCACTTGAACCCCAGAGGCAGAGGCTGCAGTGAGCTGAGATCGGGCCACTGCACTCCAGCCTGGGTGACAGAGCAACATTGTCTCAAAAAAAAAAAAAAAATTACAAAATTGACAATACATGCAGTGCTAAAATTGTTATACTTTTCACTACTTCCAATGTCAAAAAGAGTAAAGAGATTCTAGCATTAATTAAGCTCAGAAAAATGAAACTCAAAATAATACCCATTAATTCCCAGGAACATTGTTGAAACTTTATTTATGATAATGTTCTTAACTCCCATGTGTTTGGACACCCAATTCATGAAGTCATAGCACCTAAATCATCTATACTTAAAGACTTTTCAAGTAACTCAAGAAACCTTGAGTTTCAAGGTGTATCAAGTTGCAAGGCATAAAGGATAAAGGGGATAAAGTCACTTGATCTGTGTGGAGGACACAGCTAAGTTTTGAGAAAATAAGGATTATATTATCAGACTTATGACTTTGTCATTTTTCATTCATCACTGCACAGATACTGAGACACCAAGTATGAGACATACAGGTGAATAAGAAAAAAGCATTTGCTCTCAAAATAGTGCAGTCCAGTATCTCAAAGATAAATACTGTGACCCGATAACAAAAAATAAAAGGCAGAAGATAATACATTATTTTATCCTTAGCATTAATCCATGGCATGTATGGCTTTAGGGAATATTTCTAGTTACCTCTTTTCTCTGTTTTTCCAAACGCCTTATCTTTTGTTCAAGAGAATTTGTCAAGTTCTTTCTTGTTGATGATTCAGCACACTTAAAAGAAAAACAAAAAAGCAAAAACAAAAAGAAAAGAAAATGGAAACGAAACTACTTACAAAATAAACAGAAGTACTGTTCCTCACAAACCCCATGCATTTGGCCAACTCTGTTGTGATTTATAAAAATACCTGATTCTAGCAGTAATAATCCTCACACCCTATGTCCTTCTTAGTGACTGACTGGTTGATGAATCAGCTTCATATTATGTTTTAGAATCGTTTATGTAAACTAGTTACCAAAATAATTCTTTAATAAATTATAAATATATCTATATACTATTATGGGTAAGTCAGAGATTAAAATTTTATGAATTTGGATTTTAATAATTTCTTAAAAAATGACAATTCAGAAATCAGGTAAGTTCCATGGATACATTTTAAATATTTTTATGGTAAAAATTTCAAAAAAGTCATTTTGGTAGCTGTGCCCATGAACATGTATGTGAGTAATATTCTGAAAAGTAGACCCAGCAAAAGTCAGAGGAATGACAGAATCATCAAGAATAGAGACAAACACATACAGCTAAAATGCAGCTAGTTGATTCTAAAACTAAACGAAGTTAACTACTTCAATGACCATGACATGAGAATGTTATAGAGGTGGGCATAGATTATCTGGTACTGTGTGATTTTGGCCAGCTCCTTGAATAAAGTCACTAGATTTCAAGTTTAGATTATTAATAAATTACTGGCATAGTGAAAAGTTTACCACCATTCTTTTCATTTTTTTTTTTCCAGGAGTGAGAGTATTCATTTAAAGATAACACAAAAGCTATGGAAGCTGTCTGCTGTCTGCCTAAATCAACTAAGAACAACATTTACTTTAATGAAGGACTGGCTCCTCTATAATAATTCAATAGTCCTATTACTATCTCATATCAGAGTCATATAAGTAACACAATGAATTGGGTGATGAGGGTAGTTACTAAATCTGTAATCAGTTTCAGGCTTAATAGTTATTGTAAAGCACTTAATTGTTTAAAGCTATTCATAAACAATTAAAAATATTTTTAAAATATGTTGGTCTTTGCCAGAAATATGTACAGGAAACCTTTCTTTTGCAATCTTCATGGGATTCCAAGAAACTTTCTTCATTAGAAATTATTTATAAAACGGTATTTTCTATATTTTCTCTGTTTACTTATGTTTCAGCATTTTATAGTTTGATGATATTTTATGTAAGCATAAATGTTGTTCTTTTTTTTCTTAGCTTCTTCTTATTTAGACTTATGTTATTGTAGGGCTAAGTGCCCCACAGGGTTGTGGGGTGTCCCTTATGCTGTGCTGAGGCGCAGGATGAGAAATAAAGAGACAGGGCATAGAAGTACAAGGAAAACACAGCTGGGCTCAGGGGTGCCACACCACCTATAAGCAGAGACAGGCGAGGCCCCGAATGTCCAGAAGTGTCTGTATTTACCGGGTATAGGTTAGGGGGCAGGGTAGTGAGTGAAGTCATCTTTAAGGTTAGTGATAGAGTTGTGAGCAATAAAACAAGGGGTCCACGCCCTTTAGGTCACCTAGGCTAGGAGGTTGACAGTGCGCAGCAAGGGGTCCAGCCCCGTTAGGTCACCGAGGCATGGAGGTGGGCCGTGCGCAGTGAAGAGGGTGCAGTGTGCAATACCTCTACCTATGGGCATGCTACTCCTAAGAAGACGTATAGGAGGATGCTTAAGTCACACAGCAGTGACAGAGCTGTCAGGGTCTACCACCACCTCCTGCCAGCTTCCAATGAGTTCTACAGGAGGATGCTTTTTGAGCCAGCACAGTAACAAGAGCTGATAAAGTTCATAGTCACCAAGGTGTGATTATCCGGAGGGGTTTTGAGCCCTCGGATGCCCGAGAGATTGCTGGTCTGAGGGCAGCCTTCCACAAGAACTGGAGCAAGGTCCTACAACTCCTTTATCAGGAGTGGTTCTTGCCCCAAGCCTGACATACAGCGGGTATCTTTACCATACTGAACGCTGCCGCCTGGGTTATGGATTCTTGTCCTGGTATAACCGTTTTTCCCTTAAATTATGCTCGGCACTGTGTCTACTCCAGACATTCCTCCGACTATAAGCCGCTTATTCCTTAATTCTTGCTCTGTACCATGTCTACTCTAGGCATTCCTCCGATTATAAACTAAGATTATATATATATATATATATATATGTATGAAAATAACTGAGTGGTAAGATATTCTTTAGGCACTCATTCTATGAACTAATATATGATTATATAAAGGAAATAACGGCGTAGTAACACTATAAATTGAGATATTCTTCAGGCACTAATTGTGCCAGGATTCTGTTTAGCTCTCCTTCCTCGGTACCTATACAGGGGGTTACCCACATGTTATAATTAAGACTACATTTAAAAAGAATCAGTTTTCTGTGGGTCAATAAACTCTGAATGATTACATTTGCTCTTGACCTCAAGAAGCTGGTGTGGCTGAGCATCAAGAGTGACATGGAAACCCAAGTGTCAAGTATGTTGGGGCCTGTAACTGGACCTTCTTTTTTTGGGGGGAAGACTTGCAAGAAACTGGACCCATTCTGGATTAGAACAGACTATTAAGTGCCTTTGATCTGGAAAATGCTGTGACCCAACCCTGCTTAGTGCATCTTGAGGTCATCAGCAAATTAGGGGCACAGTGAGACTGGATTTTAGAACAGTAGTTCTTACCACAAGAGCACATCAAAGTCACCGTTAAGCTTGCTAAACAAAGCATCCTGAGCCGTGGATTAGAATTTCTAGAAGAGCAGTCAGGGCGCCTCTATTTCTAATACATTTCCTAGGTAATCATGATTCATATTAAAGTTCAATACATTCCCATTTTAGGGAATAAATTATGGGTCCTCAAAAGTGGCTCCTCTCTGTTTGTGATGTAGACAAGTCTGTGATCGGCAAGCATTTGTATGTCCCTACCTTCTGGGAACCCAGATGTGGAACAATGAGACAATGTGCTTTTTGTTTGCCCCATAAATAATTTTCTCTGGAAGAAAATTATAATACATTTCATCCTTGATTTTTCTTTTATAAATAAAAATTATTGAAAAGCTAGATACCAAATCTGCAAGAGAATCTATTTGCAATTGCAGGAGTACTAGTTTTGAAATTCATAAATAATGTTCAATCATAAGTAGGGGAGGATAAGAGGGAGGAAAGATAGAAAACATAGTGAATAGAAATGGCATGTAAGTCACAAATGTATCACCAGAGCTTTCTCTGGACATTAATCAATATTTTGCCATGGTTCATGTGTCTCAGGTTTCTATAGAATAAAGCAAAATTAATCAAATACAAAGGTTTGGGGGACGTTTTCATTTGTATTTGCTTTGCTTTGCAGTTTCTAATGAAGGCATCTGATTTGCAGTAACTACAGAGATTTTCAGCCATTGTTTCTAGTAAAAGCTGCTTGCAGAACAGTTATTTCCTATAAATAATTTTCTATAATTATTCCCTTTAAAGTAGAGTTTGTGTTCAGAGCATCTGGGCACTTCTTTCTCTATGATAACATCCTTACCAATGTATTCAAAGTCTGACACTACTAAAAAACCTAAATGAACAGGAGGTTCCACTTAGTTTCCCATTATATCTTGGCTATCTCTAAAATAAAACTTAGAAAATATTTGAATTCATTCAATTAATAGTAGTCTCTGTTGCTGAACAAAATCTATGGTACCAGTTGTAAATAAATTAAAATGTTACTACAGATACTCTATTGCTACAATATGTTCTATTTCTAACCACACCAATATAGTATTCTTTCTTAGATTTTATATAGAGCCAAATACATCTAAATCAAGAACAAAATAAGGAACGCACAGAACTGGAAGGCTGAAAGGAATTTAAGTCCAGTGGGGTTAAAGGAGATGTACCAGTTACTTAGATATTTTTTTCTATGCTAAATCATATTGGTTAAAAATATACAGCAAATCTTAGCTAAAGAAAGCAAGCTTGCCATTTCTGCTTTTACTAAGAAATGCACAATTAACCACTAGAAATGCTGTCGATGCTAGATGTGATCAGCTCATCTAGAAGTATATTCTTACCTCTTCATGCTTCGTAGAACTTTCTGCAGCAATCATTCTAGATGTGTTCTGTACAAAATGTGCCGTGGAAACTGTTTTTCCTGGAGTCTTGGAAAGCAGAAAGAAAAATGGGAAAAATAAGTATCTTATGATATATTTTAGGGTGAAAGCAAATACACAAAATTCAAAAACCACACATCACCATTAACTCATAAGAGAAAATAATAGCAATAGATTTGCATTAAAAATGAACAGAAGTGACTGTGGATAGGAATTACACAGAATAAAGTGATAAGCACAGCAACTGTGATTTTAACTTTTCTTCTCTTCCAAATAGGGATTTCCCAGGATGTCTCAAATAGGCAGGCTGTGACTAAGACCTTGGGCAGATTAGACTTACTATGGTATGTAAATCATCTTTCTTCCTTTACTGGCAGTTTCTCCCACTGGAGGAGGAAGTTCTCCACCACAGAAAGCCTGGGCAATCCAACTCTTTCCTCAGTAGCCTAACTGCTATAAATTCATTGTATTTCCCAGAGCAATTAGGTAACTGTTGACTTTTTGACAGCTCGGTTTCCCTAAAGACAAGATTTTCTGGCATTGCCTTGTAAATGTGAGTACAACTTGGTAGAATTTAATGAGTCATATATAATTCTGTAAGTGCCACTAATGCTTATGGAAAGAAAAGGGAAAATAATTCATTGTAAAGAAAAATGGGCATTGTTTGCAAATCTAATCTTCTATATTGGCAGAAAGGTTAAACTTGCCTTTCAAGTTTAACACTTTTTTTCTAATGATCAAGTCTAGATTGTCTCCATGACTCATTTGAAATGAAATCTTTTGGAGAAATAGTTTAGTGTTAATTCGTTGACTGCTGTCATTTTAGAGGCCTTGAGGTAATAGAACACTACTGGGTAGTACAGATAAAAGCGTGGAAATGGTAGATACTTGGAGCTACATAAATGGACCCGGATGGAACAGAAGACTTCATTTTGGACTTGGAGCAAAAAAGAGGCGAGGGATGCAAAAAAGGAAAGAATGTGTAACTAAAAAGAGAAAAAAAAAATGCAGCCAATCATTTAACTTCATTAGACCTGCCTATGAGATATCCACATATATATATGATAAAGCCTAAAATTCCAGTTCTTCAAAAGGGAATGATTGAGTTTTCAATATTTGGCCCTCCAGTTTCTCCTGAATATCTCCCCCTACTCTCTAACTCTCCCCTGTGCTCCAGCCATCCTGACCAACCTCCCTTTCCTGAAGTCAGTGATATGGTTCTATGCCCCTGATCCCTGTGCCTGCTGTTCTTAACCCCTCAGATGTCTCCTCTCTGGGCCCTCCATCCAACCTTGTGCCCAGGAAAACCTACAATTAATGCTTCTCTTTCCTTCTGAACTTCTCTTGGCCTTCTCTAATCAGCTAAGAAGGGCACTTCAGCATGCATTACAATTACATATTTCCATGTTCCTTGGCTCATCTCTGTGTCCACAGTACCCAGGCACTGAGCTGTCAGGCACACAGCAGGCATTCAACACACTTTGCTACATGAATAAATGGATGAATATCTATATAATGATATACCAAATTGATGAACTTTTTGCTAGTGTGTGTGTGTGTATGTGCGTGTGTGTGCGTTCACCTTCTTCTAGTTTCTTGTTTTGCAAAACAAGGACTATACTTGAGTGAAAGGGAGGGACACTGCCTTAAAGCAAAATCCAAAAATACAAATGGGAATCAAATTGTTCATTCAGAGTACTGAAAGTAAAAGTTATAACTCACATAAGATCTGACCTTACGGTATAGAAGCAGCAATTTCCTGAACTGACACTTTATCAGCACTAAAATCTGCTCATCAGAAAATAAAAGAAAAAACTTTATCATAAAAATATTTTTCCTCTGAAACATACCAGGCACATACACACACTGTAGTTTTATATAGTTTAAAGTTCCCTTCAACCTTAACTTCGTATTTGGTAGTAATAACCTAGTGGATATGGTAACATTGACCTAGAAAAGTGGGTCAGAAGAACATTTTCTTGGCAGGAAATACCATCCTTAGCATTGCACCTTTTGAGTAACCTCTGTAAAGTATCCCTGATGCACATACATTGTTAGGTGTGATGGCTTCTATTAAATGGAAATTCTATGCCTTTGCATCTTTCATTACAATTTCTTTGCCTCTTCTGCTATGCAGATAAACAGCAAACAGATTTTCTATTAGCTCGAGAGAGACATGTGGTTATTTATGAATAAATAATAACTCTTCTGAAGAACCACAAGTTTGGTTTCAGAAAAATGAGACTTCCAGTAGCCCATCCCTAAGAATGAAATGGGTCTTTTCTGTTACATATGCTCTCTTCACTTCACCTCCATCCCTCTCACATTATGCCATATATTTTAAGAGTCTGGATTTTAGTTAAGCTTTGTTTCATGACAAGTCACACTAGCTGAAATTACTTTCAGAGAAACAGAGGTGTCACTCTATGTTTCCAAGGCTATTGTGAGGAGTATTTCTGAAGTCACTAAAATATTATATAGAGGAAAGAAAATTAAAATTAACAGAGAGAAATATGATAAAGAAATGAGGACTACCAGTCACTGGTCTGTAACCATCATTCTGGTGGACAATAATTATATCAAAATTAGTCCAAGAAGAGAGGATGACATTTCTATAAATTCTTGGAGGCATGCTTTGGCAGGTAAAAGAAACGTGGTTTTTTCCTTTTATATCCTTTTAGAGTGGGAGTTGAAAAACTTTATTTGCTTCCTGAATCTATTTGCATGAATTTTTAAGTGTATGTGCTCTGTAAATCGGAAAGCTCTAGAATTAGATCATCTGGATTCACATCGTGTCTCTATCACTTACTGCTTGTGACTTTGGTTATCTAAACATCTAAGATGCTTAAGGTCTCTAAGGCTCAATCTCCACATCTATACAGTGGGATGGTAATAGTGTCCTCCTATGGTTGCTATCTGAGCTTAGATGGTAATAATAATTTGGCTCTAAAGATAGGACCATCAATCAAATTATTTAAGGAACAAATAATATGACAAAAGGAAAGGGCAACCCACAATTTATGCATCACTCACTATGTACTAGACATTGTGTGGGCTCCAAAAGAAAACAAAAGCAAAAGTCCCTGCTTATGATGAAATGTACACACACATAGGTACGTGTGTGTGTCAATCTATATATTTGAAAAACTAAACAGTAAAAGAAAACCAGGAAATAAATGGTAGAGACAATAAGGCCTGTAAGAATTCAGAGGAGAAAGTGCTCATTCTCAGCTTTAACAGCTAAGGAAAGAGTTAGAGTTTCTGTTGGGCCTTGAAGTGTATATAGGATTTTGATAGAGAATGAAAGCTGAGATATAAATGCTGTACAGGGAGCAATGTAAGAAACAGAACAGAACTGGGCAAACCGAAGTATGAAAGATTCTGACAAGTCCAGTTTAACTATAGTGGGGTCCATGTGGTATTTCTAAAGGTGATTCGGATAAAATCATAAAATATTTTAATTTCAGATAAAGAAATGTTGACCTTATAGGCCATAGGGAGTTACTAAAGACCTTTGGGCAAAGGAATTACATGATCAAAGTGTTTTTTAAAGTGCTTTTAGTACACCATGTATTAAATAGGAGAAATTGGAATCTGCAGTGCAGTTAATATAAATTAGCGAAAGTAATATTCAAAATGTTTATTTTAACAGCTTGCGACAATCAAAATATTTAGCAATCAGTGCACCAGGGGCACTAGGAATGGACCATACCCCTACCTGGACTCCAGACTCCTATGTTAATTGCCTACTTGTCACCTCTGCTTATGTACATAATAGTTACCTTGTTCTTCACCTGTCTTGTTTGATCACGAAAACTTAGCTTATGATTTTCCCTGCAAAACTTGCCTTCCCCGTTACAATTAATAACACCTTTTACTCTCCAGACAGAAAATCTTGTAGTCATCTTTGACTCCTGTTTCTCTTACATCCTGTATCCAATCTAGCTGAACATTTTTTAGCCTTTTAAAAAATATATACAGACAGGAGAGCAGCATATTACCAAGAGAGTCCAGAGACTTCTCAGTTTAATGAGCAAGTGGCAAGGTGAAATAAACTTACTTTTTTTTTTTTTTTTAAAAAAGACAGAGTGTCTCTCTCTCATTGTCCAGGCTGGAGTGCAGTGGTGGGAACTTGGCTCACTGAAACCTCCGCCTCCTGGGTTCAAGCAATTCTCCTGCCCCAGCCTCCCAAGTAGCTGGGATTACAGGCATATGCCACCATGCAAGGCTAATTCTTTTGTATTTTTAGTAGAGACGAGTTTTCACCATATTGGCCAGGCTGGTCTTGAACTCCTGACATTGTGATTCACTTGCCTCAGCCTCCCAAAGTGCTGGGATTATAGGCATGAGCCACAGCTCTGATAAATTTTTGTAGTCCACGCTGGAGTACAGTGGAACAATGATAGCTCACTATAACCTCTAACTCCTGGGCTCAAGCAATTCAGCTGCCTCAGCCTCTTGAGTAGCTACAGATATGTACCACCATATCTGGCAATTTTTATCTTTTAATTTTTTGTAGAGCTGGGATTCTCACTATATTGCCAAGGCTGGTCTTGAACTCCTGACCTCAAATGATCCTCCCACCTCAGCTTCTAAAAAAATACCTTCTAATAACTTTTTCAAAGTGAGGACTTTAATATTTGCCTCCTGATTTTATTCATAGGAACATTTTTAAGAGCATGTCCAGCAGTGACTGATCTCTGGCTGTGGGTCAAGCCTGGTTCCATCACTTGCTAGTTATGTAAACTTGGGCAGGATGATTGGCAATTTTTGCATTGACACCAACTCACTATCATCTTTTAGCTGGATTACTGCACTAACCTAAGGGCTTTCCTGCTTCTATTTTTGCTCCTATTCGCCCATCCCCATTGTTAATGCAGTGGCCATTGTGAGGGTTTTAAAATGTCATTTCATGTCACTCCCTCTGCTCAGAACCTTTCAGTGGCTTCCCATCTCACTCAGAGTGAAAGCAGAACTCTTTCTAGTGGCTAGCAAGGTCCTACACAATCTACCCCAGGCCTCTCTGACTTCATTCTTGGTATCCTCCT